CTTATTGGAATGGGAAGTAAATGTGAATGAAGACTTCCCGTCAACCAGATGGCTTAATTTAGACAGACCAGCTAAACTTTGTTTGCTGGTGAAATCTTGAGGTCAAACAATTTTCACCAGCCAATAATGTTTAGCCCTTCCTTCTAAATTTACAAATTGAGATGACGGGAAGTCCTCCAATAATAAAAGTTCTTCGAATCAGGTTGAGATGTGTAGTGGGTGCCCTGTTATTTTTGGCTGCTTGTTTTGGATTCCAGATCTTCAAAGAACAATCTTGAATCCACAAGACTTGTGCATGTGGTGCAGAGTAGGGCCAAAAGAATGAATATGAAAAAATAAAAATAAAAAATAAAGTAGGGGGTATCAAATATAGGAAATCCACCATCAGAAACCAGTCACTTTTCCAAAAACTTTTTTTTGCATAAACGGGCCCCAAAAGGGGTTAAATGGATAACCAAAATGTTTAAAAAAGGGCGGATTTTTTCAAACCAGTCAATTAAATAATGGAGGATTTGGTTATATTTGATTTCAAAATTTGTGAAAAATAAAACAATAAAATTGTTTTTTTCCCAAAGCGTTGATATTCATTTTGGGGAAGTGGGAGTGCTGAGAGAAAGAAAGAGTGGAGCCTAAAAAAATGATTATAAATGAAAAAAAATTGTAACCAAAAAAGGTTGACCCAGGTTGGTTGTTCAGACAGGAGTCAAAACTAGAGATTGTTTGTTTGTACTTGGGTACCTGTTGAATTCTTTCAGGAAACAGGTACCCAGTACCACACCTGGCACCTCCTGGTGGGTACCGGCAGTACTTTTGGCGGGTACCACAGGTACCTCCCCTCTCTCCTTCTCACCTAGTTTCACTCTCAGAGTCCCAAGTCATTTTTTTCATTTTATTGTTTTCTCTCCCACAGTCCCAAGTCTCTTTTTTCATTTTTTGGTCACTTTTATTGATATCTATTCTTTTCAGTGTTCACTCCCAGAGTCCCAGGTGAGTTTTTTTTTTCATTTTTTTCACAATTACTGTTGCCCACACAACAAACCAAAATTGGTGTGTGGGTGTTACACCATCATCTTTTGATGTGTGGGCCTGCACACCCTTTTGTAGGCGGGCACCTCCCTAAAAAAGGGTGTGCCGGCAAACACACCAAAAATTGATGGTGTGTTGGCCTGCACGTCACGTTAACACCTGCCAAGAAGTTGGCAGGTGGGAACAGAAGGGCTGTTCTCATCTGGAGGATACCCTCCCAATGAGCTGGATTTAAAACCAGCTCATTGGGAGGAAAACCTCTTGATGAGCTGGCCATCAGGAGGGTTTCCTCCCAGTGGGCTGGATTGTGTACCAGCTCATTGGGAGGAAACCCTCCCAATGAGCTGGTAATTCCTCATTCAAGTTGATAGGAAGAGTGATGAAGTTTAATATGAGAAATATTGTTAATAATTTCAATACCACA